ATTACTATGGCTTTATAGTCGAGTTTGAAATTTGGTATTGATATTCCTCCAGCGGTGTTCTTTCCATTGAGGAGCGTTTTTGCTATTCGGGGTCTTTTATTGTTCCATATGAATTTTTGGATTGCCTCTTCTATTTCCTTGAAGAATGAGGTTGGAATTTTGATAGGTATTGCGTTGAATTTGTAGATAGCCTTGGGAAGTATTGCCATTTTCACGATGTTATCAAAGTCAAACTTCTTAAGAGACTGTTCCATACTCACTCTATCTCTCAGCCAACTGACTGCTCCTGCTTTTTCCCTTCTGGTACCTTTCCACCTTCTGCCTAGGTTCCAATCTCTATTCCCCAGCCACATTATCCTTAATACTGTGACTCTGAGACCAGCGCAGATCTCTTTGCTCACTTCTTTTCTAACCACCTGCCTACTAACGAACTCAGCTTAAACTGCCACCAACTCCTATCACATAGATAAGAGTGGGAAGAATTTAATGTGCTTCCTTAAGGTTCTCCCTAAGGTTCTCTACTCTTAATTTTTGTAGTTTTGCCTCTAACTCCCACTGATTCTTCAAGTTACAACTTGGACATCACTTCATCCAAGGAGTCCTTGACAAATTACAGATTTTTTAAAAAGTTTTTTTTCTTTAATATAGGCACAGAAAAAATTGAGAGGTAGGTATTATGAAGTCTAATCAGGCAGGCCTGCTCTAACTACTTCAAAAGTAATATTTAAAGTGACTCTTCTATAATATACTGTTCTTCATGTTTACTACACTTTGTAAAAGGGTAAAAAGGTCAAAATAAAACTAAAATAGGTGTATCAAGTTATGATACATGAACAAATTTTCAAAACTAACAATAACATGAAAGAAAAATGTGAAATAAGTGAGGTGCTACTATAATACTAATTACTATAATGCCTATACTACTAATTACTCAGGAGACTGATACATGAAAAACAACAGTTTGAAGCCAACTCAGGCAGAAATGTCTATGATTCCATCTCCAATTAACCAGAAAAATGCTAGAGTCATGAATCAAGTTGTAGTGTACTAGATGTGAGCAACCAAGTTGAGAGAGAATGTAAGGCCCTGAGGTCAAATCCCTGGTACCAGAATAAAATAATTATATTGATTACCACTTAATTTAATAGGCATTTTAACTATGACTAAAATAGCAGATTCTGTCTATTCATTTTTATACTCTTGTTTTCAAAAGCAGCTTAGTGTTATCATAAAGTACATGAATAGTCTTCTTCTAATAGTAAATACTTATTTAATTATAAATGTTGATGTATTACATTATTACATCAGTAAATATAATCTTAGTGGAGTAAGAGGAAAGAGTGGAGACTGGTAAATTCACCATGACTCAGCCTCACATTTGTTTGTGGCATCAGCTTCAAGAGCAAAATCAGAATGATGTCTTGGTATAATAAAGTACTCTATTTTGGGAGTCTTGTTTTGGCTTCATTTTATTGACTGATTTATAAAACATGAAATCAGAAGTTAACTTCCTGTAGTTTATAAAATTCATTCTTCCCAGTATTGCAAACATGTATGAAGATCTGCTGAATCCTCAGCACAATTCACCATAGCATTTGCACAAAGCAAAGTCATGAAGGACAATTGGAGTGCAGGGTGTGTGTGGGGGGTAAATGTGGCACTTCTGGACATCAACAGAGGGTACCTTTTTAATCAATTGCCCCTTTCTAAAAAGAATGCAGGAGATGAGAGCCCTAGCTCAAGTTGTAACACTAACTTAGTTTAAGACCTGCAGCAAGTCACTTGGCTTTTCTGAAGTCACAATTAAAAAGCAAAGAGATAGATAAAGGCACCTCAAAGTTTCTCCAGCACTGACACTGAATGTTTAATTAGATACAGCTTAGCACATAAGCTGTATGAAAAGAATATTTTGCTTCATAAATCTGTGTCTTATGTACATTTGTTTACCAACCACTTCCTTCCTCCACAGCAAGACCAGAGTTTCCTCACATACCTTTAGAGCCTCAGTTCTTATTAGTAATGACAACAGATAAAAACATCATTAGGGTAATAACCATTATCTGATACATATGTAAAATGAAGGCAAATTCTACCATTATTTGAAGAAAGTTTTCTAACCTAGTTTATTTATTGGCAGAGAAAAATACACACTCAGGAAAAAAGTACCCTTGTATTTAAAAGGATAATGACAACTTAAAACTTCTTGTCCCCTTTAGTAGATGCCTGTATAAAAATATCAAGTACCTAGCCATTTCAGACATTTTATCCATGTGACAAAATAAATTACAATTAGATAGCACTTTTTAACTCTAGTGTGGCACCAAGATAGTACCCACTTCACAGCCTGCCCATTCTATTCAGAGCACTGCCATATTCCCCCTCTAGGATCTCACACAAAGACATGGGAAGTCAACAGATGATTGTAAATCCCACTCTGTGTCCCATGACAACCCTAAATTACAGGAAGAGAGTCCTCTCTTGATTATGGCAGATCAGAGGAAAGAAAGGTGAAGTGGTATGTTCAAGGCCAGATATTCAGAAACTGCCAGATCTGGGATCACAATCAGGATCAATCAAAAAACAAAAAGGTTAATCCTTCTTTCACTATTCTGTGGTTAGTCCTAAATGTAAGCAACTTTTTTTACCTACTTATTTCCAAAATATTAACAATGGAATCAAAATCATGAATTATCATGGATCCCTGAATCTTCCTTGATAAGATTTCTCAATAAATAAAGTGTAGTTCCCTGCTTAAAAAACAAAACAAAAATACAGAAAAGATTGCTCCAAAATAGACTTTTGCTTGATTCTCTAACAAATTCTTTCTCTAATTCCAACACACACAGTAAATGTGGGTCCAGACAACTTGTGGTAATGAGGCATAAGTACCTTTCAGCCTGACTTTAGCCATGTCCACTTGGCAGCCCACCCCCAGTACTGAGAGCCTGGATAGGTGCCAACATTAAGAGGTTCCACCAAGACAATAAACAGAACAGTGGCCATCTGTCCATGCAGGCAACAAAGCAATGATCAGTATCACTCTCCAAGGAAGAGCAAGGCCAAGTTGAACACATGGCAAAAACAATGTGAAGAACAAGCATAGTGGGCCATACCTATAATCCCAGCTCTCAGGAGATGGAGGAGGATCACAAATTCAAGGACAGCATGGACAACATAGCAAAATCCTGTATAGACCCACTCCACAAGTCTACAAACTAGATAAGGCAATCAGAGTGAAAGGGATACTATTCAGGAGGCAAAAGTATGTGCCAATTACTTCTGTAGCCTCATATATTTTTCATGAAGCCAAGATCATGAAATCACATTAACATGTTAAAATTCAATATGAATAGTTGACTTCTCTTACATATAAAATGGGAATATTCAGCTTCAAAGAAATATTTCTCATCAGAAGCAGCACTGTGGCTCAAGTGGTAGAGTGCTATCCTAGAGCAAAAGCTCAGGGACAGTGCCCAGGCCGTGAGTTCAAGCCCCAGGACTGGCAAACAAACAAACAAACACAAAACCCTTTGTAAAGAAATATTTCTCTTTTTGTCACCTTTACCTACATGTCTTATCGGTACTCTACTAATGTTCTTAATTAGTATCTATCTTCCAAAACTTCCTTTAGGGTAATCATCACTTCAGCTTATGTCTCATCAGGCAAAAATTTAATGTTAGACCCAACCAGCTGTGCATATTTCCAGAGCCCATCTATGCTATTCTCTCTTACCAAATCTATATACCCATATATTTACATATACACACATCTATATCTATTCTATCTATATCTATATATATAGGCAGTATTGCTTTCATTAAGAGTCCTATGCCATTTCTACCTCCATGACAGTTGCAGGCAGCACAAGCATCTCCTGGAGCTCTACACCCACACAAAGGGTCATCAACCCCTCCTCCATATTTGAGATTTCCATCCAACAATTCTCCTCCCTCTCCCTCATACCATCCTGTCCTTCCTCACTGGACCATCACACTAATAAGCCAACACACTTCCCTAAGCCTCACCTTCCACACATTGCCAACTTCATCTGGCTCCCTTCTATATCAAGACCTCTTTTTTTTTCAATTTTATTTTATTGTAAGCATGATGTACAGACAGGTTACAGCTACACAAGAAGGTAATAAGCACATTTCTTTTTGAACATTGTTACCTCCTCCCTTGTTTTCTCCCACTTTCCCTACCCTTAACTCTCCTCTCCCCACAATTTATAAGTTCATTTCCAACATTGTATCTTCTGAGTATTGCTGTTGCACTAATTCAAATTTTGTCCTTTGTCTCAACATTTTGTTATTCCCTTTTCCTTAAACATATATACAATATGCAAGGTATCTTGGAGTTCATTTCAATAAGCAACATTTTTTATGGTCATTTGTACATAGATATTGAGCTAGTGTGATCCTCTGCTAGGACTCTCCTAGACATATACTAATTATTACAAATGATGGAAACTATGGAACAGACATTTCTTTGGGTCTGGCTACTTCAATTAATATGATTTTTTTCCAAATCTTTCCATTTCCTTACAAATGGAGCGATGTCATTCTTTCTAATGGAAGCACAGAATTCCATTGTGTGTATATATGCCATATTTTCTTGATCCATTCATTTGTGGAGGGCATCTGGGTTGGTTCCATATCTTAATTATGGTAAATAATATTGAGATGAATATATGAGTTCCAGTAGCTTTAGTGTAGCTTTGTTTGTGGTTGTATGGGTTAAAGCAACACTAAATGTAAATAATAGGCCACAAACTATAGGACAAAACTAAGTAGGCTAATTTCTAAAAATATAAAGTTAATATTACTCAAAAATTCTCAATGATTAAAATTGATTTGCTGTATACAAAAGTCTGATTCATTTCTTGTATTTTCAGTGTTTTAATAAAAATGACTTACCCTAAATAGTAACCCTGCCAAACTCTGGGCAAACAAGTCCTTTATTTGTTTATCCTTTGGCTTCTGCATGACAGCTTCTGTTATCCTGAGTAGTATTTGCAACATCTGTTCCCTAGGCCACCCAAAATAAAAGCTCATATTAATGATCACATTTCCAAAGAACTTCCATTTATAAGTACAGGAACTCCTCTTAGGAATAACATTGATTACTAAATGCCAATTATACAACATTATATATGTTATCAAAATAAACTACAACAATTCTACCAATATACCTTTCTCTTCCCCAACAGGTAGGATGAAACAGATACTTCCCGAGGGACACATGCAGTCAATACCATAACATGACTGAGTTCCAGACTTCTTATAGGCAGATGGGGTTTGGGAAGGTCATAGCTGGGCATAAATGAGCAATGTGCATATGTCTGGAAGCTCCTGATTGCACTTAAGTACACAGTTGTTAAAACTGGAGTCACAGAATTTTAGTCACAATGTGCCAACACTTTCAGAGTCTCTTACAAAGAAAGATACTTGTAAAGTCTTTAAGGAACATGAAATGCTATGAAGAATATGTAACACTGCTAGTTTAAAAAATCAGCATTTTAGAAGAATAAAACGGGCATTTTTCTTTCACACAGCTAAGCTGTATTTCTCATATCAGAGTATCTCCTCAATTTTTGTTGCCCTAGATTATGTGGGAATCAAAAATACATTACCTTCTGCATATAGGAAAGGATTTTTAATTTGAGAGGAATTGCTCTGGTGTGAAGTTTTATACTTCAGTCATTTGTTCATCATTACTAACTTTCTCTTTGGCCTTGTTGCTTTTTAGTAATAAAATCAAGAATAGGACAGAGTAATCTAATCCAGATCAGAGTAAGAGATTTTTAAACTATAGTTCTTTTTACAATTCTCTCTGCATAGCAGGACATTATTTTCCCTTAATTTATAATTATGAATCTCATTAACCTTCTCCTAATACAGTAACCTCTGGGCATTTAAAGCCATCTTTATAGCTGATCTCATTTAAATTTTTAGTGTGAAGGTTATCAGTTTCTGTAACTTCTTACAATCTCTTCTATTTGTTATCTGTATCTTGTTCCAACACTATCAATAACTTGTTCTATATACTGTCTATGGATTCTTGAAGCACAGAAGAGCAAGAAAAATCAAAGGTGTCTAAGATCTGGGAACATGCCCATGGACAACCTGTACAAAGTATCTATTGTGCTGATTTGAGGACACTCAGAAGATAGGCATGATGATAGGAATATTTCCAGTGCAGGATGTCATAAACACAGGACTTCAGTAGTCTGAGGGACTGAGAGTAGAAGCCCTAAGTAGTGTGTGTGTGTGTGTGTGTGTGTGTGTGTGTGCGTGTGTGTGCGTGTGTGTGTATGCGCGCGCGCTGTGAGAAGCTGTGAGAAGCATTTGTACGAGAGAAGTGAGAAGGTAAGTCTTCTAGAATACAAAGGGATCAATAAAGAAGGGAAAGTGACAGAGAATGCTGCAAATACCTCACAAGATAGGATTTATGGTAACATTACTGGAGAAGAGCTCAGGAAAATATCTAACATATTCTTTACCTTAAAATGTGGAAGAAAAAAGAAAGAGACAGAGACTGAGAGAAAACTTTATACTTCAGTGAGGAAACTCTATTATTAATTGAATTTTAAATTAGATATTTCAATAATTTATTACTTAAAATATAGCTCTTCCAAAGTGTATTTAAAACATCAAGTTGAAGCAACAAAAATTAGCTTATAGCATTTGGAGGCAATTCACAAATTCTCTGTAGCTTATAAAAAATGATAGTATAAAACACCATAGTGCCTGTTCACAAACTACATTTAATGTGTAAAATGGAAAAAATTACTACTAAGTAATATGATTATTCTTAGTTCAGGAACATTTATTAAAACAATAAGAAAATAAATGAACCTGATGGTTCATTTACTTATTAGGTTCTTACCTTTTTCCAAAATTCTCAGAAGTTTTTATAAAAGACTGGTTATTGTCCTATTGTCAGCTTCATAAAGTCATTAAATAAATGAAAACCGTAACATTTTAATTATGTTAAAAAACAAAAACATATGTTTTACAATATTAATGATTTTGAAAGAAACTTACCATGTCTTTTTATTCATTGTAAGTTCCATTATCATGCGCCTAAAAATAATCAAAACAGCTTTACAAGCATCAACTTGTTCTTTCAAGAGCATGGGAACTTCAGCACATGGTTCCAGCAAAAAGACGTTTGCAGCATTTGTAAGAAAGACCTTAAAGTCAACATTAGAAAATACAATTAATCATATACATTAAAGCAAATTTTGCCTAAAGATAAATGGTATTAATTTCCTTCTAACAATGAGTCTTCTGTATATTATTTCACAGATTCTGTTCAGTATAGCTAGCAGAAACAACATGTGCTAATGATACTTATACTTAGTTAATCTGTCCATATTAGTTATATAGATACGTGAAAGGCCTTTTCATAGGGAGAGTGATTACTATTACATATATCTAGGGCAACTTCTGCCAGGAAGCACAAATGAAGACTTCTTTTCAATGTCTCTTCAACAAGGGCAAAGGGAGAATAAAAGATAGGATCATTGTGCCTGAATGAAAGAGCTTGGGATGAAGGAAGGGCAAAAGAAGGAATATGACTAGATAACAGAATTATATGACTGAATCTTTCTGTATATAGATCCCTCTCTTGGGCAGCTGGCCACCCAAAGTAGGTATGCAGTAGTATGTTCATAAACAGACAAAGCCACGTGATCCATACTATACATTTTCCTAGAACATGATTTTTTTAGGAGAAATATATTGTGCAGCAGGATTATAAAATCTAAGTGAATTCTTAAGACCAAAGCAGATTACAAAAAATTTAATCATCTATTTTGGGCTCTGTCCCATACTTTTGGATTCCAAGTTCACTATTTACTATGTGCAAGAATATACCAGTGGAAAAATATGATTGACATATGGCAATAGCAATCCACACAAAGGGAGGAGCTACAGAGACATGAAGGGTAGGACTCCTCCAAGTTTTCTACGCTTAGGACACAGGTATACTTCTGAGTTGCACCAAAGTTATTAGAACCAGCAGGCATGTGTGTACAAATGCGTGCACACGTGCGCACGCACGCACGCACGCACACACACACACACACACACACACACACACGGAGAGAGACACTAATCTCTCTGTAATATATATATATATATAATCTCTCTATATATAATCTCTATATAATATATAATCTCTATATAAATGTATATAGATACAGATACAGATATGTAATATATAAATATATATGTGTAATAATGCATGTATAATATAGATAATTTGACAGGCAGAGATTCCACTAATTGAACAATACTCCCAGCCTTTTTTCTTTAGTTTTTCAGGTAATATCTTGCATTTTTGCCTAGAACTGGCCTCAGACTGTACCTTCTAAGTAGAGGATTGACAGGCACATGAATCATTCATTATGCCTCCCACCAGCTTATTGGTGGAGATGGAGTCTTTTAAACTTTTTGCCAGGACTCCTCTTAGTGGTTTTTTTTTTAAAGATTAATTTAAAATTACTTGCTGATTCTTAATGAAAAGGAAAGGAGAAAATGTATGGGTACTTCATATTAAATAACTAATTAAACTTGAAAACAAAAAGGATACATGATAATTAGTCCTATCAAGAGACAGATAATGGGCTGGAAATGTGGCTTAGTGGTAGAGTTCTTGCCTAGCATGCATGAAGCTCTGGGTTTGATTCCTCAGTACCACATAAACAGAAAAAGCCAGATACAATGCTGTGGCTCAAGTGATAGAGTACTAGCCTTGAGCAAAAGAGGCTCAGGGACAGTGCCCAGGACTGGCAAAAAAAAAAAAAAAAAGGACCGAGACAGAGAGGAGAGGCAGAGACAGAGAGAGAAAGAAGAGGGGGAGACAAAAGCACTCACTGAGAAGTGGATAACATGTATAGTATTTCCATGCTTACCTAGACTCTAGGGCTCTATGTGGGAAGCTTCATTAGCCACAACTATAAATTTGGATATAGATGGGATAGAGTGTTTAGGGGCCAGGAAATAAAGTAACTGAAAGGCACCCTGTAGTTTTTCTTATATCCTAACATCTTTTAAGTAGCATACGGCTGAGAAGTAATTCCTCAATTCCTATTTTTAAAACAAAATCCTGAGATATGAGGAGGGTAAGGAATGACCAAAGATGTTTCTTCCAAAGTTCCCAAATGATATAAGCTCTATTTTGAATTCATCCTTAAAAAATCTTTACATTATGTTTTCTTTTACCTTAAAAAATCTTTACAAGGGGCTGGGAAGGTGGCTCAGTGGTAGAGCGCTTGCCTTGCATGCATGAGGCCCTGGGTTTGATTCCTCAGCACCACATAAGCAAAAAGAAAAAAGCCAGAGGTGGCGCTGTGGCTCAAGTGGTAGAGCGCTAGCCTTGAGCTGAAGAGCTGAGGGACAGCGCCCAAGCCCAGAGTTCAGGCCCCATGACCAGACCAGATAGCAATTAAGAAAAACCTTAAGAATTTAAGAGCTGTTTGCGATCTGATAGTTAAAAATATCACCCTAATTGAAATAACATTCACGTGACTTCATCTTGGTGCAGGAAGTTTTCTGGTAACCTGACTGGCAACATACCTGCAGTGTAGCCTGGGCCCCAGCTTTCACATTTGTATTATCCTCCTCTGTCACACACCCTCTGCTCATGGCACTCGTGAAAGAGTATGTGCGTCCCCAACTAGAAGATCGTTTATGACCAGAACTCTCCAATGAGACCTTTCAAAGATAAAAATCCATTAACAGAAGAAAGAGGCATGTTTCCACATTCAATTCTTTACAGTCAACAAAATTCACAAGAAAATAGATTTCAGAGGGGTAAATATTTTCTGTTTTCTCACTCTCTACTTCCAGTACAAAAGCATGTTTAGTACTTAGCATGTGCTAAAGGAGTTACGTTTATTCAATGCCTGTGAGCATAAAATGCAAGCTTCTAAAACACTTGAATTCCAAATACTTGCTTCCAAGTACATGGAATACTTGTTCATTTTGACCTCATGACTAGCTGTTAAAATTATTTTACCAATATTGAAAAATCAACATTATGGAATACCAATATTGTAAAGTAAAATGCTTGTAGATAAGAAGTTTAAACATTTTAAATAACTTCAAAATAGCTCATTAGGAATACAAATATGTTTCTTTTGTATTTTGTATTTTTGTATTTTGTATGTTTCTTTTTGTTATTTTAGGTTTATCCAACCTGTAGCTTTAACTAACATACCCCTTCCAAGAGAACAGTACTCAGCACTGTTATCAGCCCAGAGAACACTTGCTGTTTATTTGGATAGCCCTTTTGAAAATTTTAACACCGAACTGATTCTGAAAGGTACTGCAGAAAAAAAGTTTGCCAAACTGTGGCTCAAGTGGTAGAGTGCTAGCCTTGAGCTGAAGAGTTGAGGGACACCACTCAGGCCCAGAGTTCAGGCCCCAAGACCGGACCCAAAAAAAAAAAAGTTTGCCAAATAGTCAAAATTTCATTTTTCAAAATGCTATTACGTAAATAGCATTTTACTTATCTGGCCACGGACGGCTCATTGCTGTAATCCTAGCTACTCTGGAGGCTGAGATCTGAAGCTCATGATCAAAGCCAGCCTGGGCAGGAAAGTCTATGAGACTCTTATCTTCAGTTAACCACCACAAAGCCAAAAGTAGAGCTGTGGCCCAAGTAGTAGTGGGCTAATTTGGAGCACCAAAGATCAGGGCCAGCACTCAGGCACTGAGTTCAAGCCCAGGAGCAGCACAAAAAAAATGCTATTTACTTAAATAAGTTAAGGAGAAGACAGTGACTGTTTTAGTCTCAGAGAACCATGAGAAATGTGATGGCTAATTAAACAACTCTTCTGCCACAGAAACTAAGAAATCTACATATGCACATGCCTCTGACCTCAGAATTAAGAGATGACTGCCAAGTGAGACCAGAGCGGAGACATCCCTCTGAAGCAGCTCCTCCTCACAAAACTCAGCAACTCTGAGGTTAGTTCAAAAGAGATCTATGGGCCTGCTTGCCACTAAGGGTGCCCTTGTTTGAGCAGGCACATTCTGTTCCTAACTCAGAATACAAGTGAAAAAAATTACCTCTTTGCTATCAGTTTCTGAAAATCCTAATTTTTCAGTATCATCTTCAGCAACATCTTTTTTATCTGGTTCTTCCATGAATACAGGTTTGTCCTGAAGAATCCACTTTCTGTATACCTGAACTACTTTTCTTGTTACAGCTATCTCACAGGAAGGCAACAGGAATGCCTGAAAAGAAGAAAAATTCATTTAATTCCACACAAGTACCACAAGAAAGACAAAACATACAGCTTCTACATAGACTACACAAGGCCACATGTCTTAGTGTATACCACTCATCTGAAGAAGGGGCCAGACAAACAGTGCAGTTTAAAAAATAACTCCTATACTAGATACTTTTTCTACAAATCAAATCATACCTAAACAGGGATTTTTGTTCGTTTATTTGCTTGTTCTTGTTGTTTGCCAGCTTGGGCTTGAACTCAAGACCTGGGAGTTGTCCCTGAACTTTTGTGTACAAGGTTGGCACTCTACCTCTTGAGTCATAGCACCACTTTCAGCTTCTTGGTGGCTAATTGAAGATAAGAATCTCACTGACATTTCTGCCTTGACTGTCATCAGGCCACAATCCTCAGATCTCAATCTCCTGAGTAGCTAGGATTACAGGCATGAGCCACCAGTACCCAACTCTACACTGGTTTTTGAATTGTCTATATAAAACAATCTTAACTGTACAACTTGGAACTTTTCCCAGGGAATCAGAAATAGGTTATAAAGTAGACTGTGACAGCTAGTGGTAATTATCTATGTCTACTTTACAATTATGGGCTCAGAGACAGGCATGCTGGTGGCTTAATCAGGCATAGTAAGAGTGGTTACACTACAGATGTTGACAACAGCTACAAGTCAGAGATTTGGGTTATTTTTTTCTTTCCCTTGTCTTTCTTCCTACCTTTTATCCTCCTTCCTTCCTTCTATTCAAACTACTTCAACATTTATCAAATACCGTTAAATATAGCCACTAAAATGTAAACAAGAGCCACTATTTATAGCATTGTGTACATTTATAGGAACTTTTAAAATAATTAGTAGAATATTATTTTATTTACATATTATAATATCCCTGAAAATCTAACAAATATTTTGAGTACATAAATTTTTCACAACCATGACATTTTTACTGTATTCAGAAATTTTCAATGAGTTTAATCTAAAGTGATTCCTATGACCCAAGCTGCTCAGGAGGCTAAGATACGGACAATAATCTAGAAGAAATTATGGAAAACATACACTAAAGATACCTGTATACTCATGCTCATGATGGTTCTTTTCCTCTTCTCTTAATAGTCATTTTTCTTTATTTTAGCTACTACATAGGATATGTAAATCTATTGTTTGGTTAATGGGCTTACCTACATGATTTCCAGTTCTACTTTCCTCAAACATAACTTCTTTTTTCTCTATGGCTGAAAATATTCCATGATGTGTATTTTCCTTTTTTTTTCTGGCCATTCATCAGTTGGAACTTTTATGATTAAAAACTCCATTATAGCCAGGCGCCGGTGGCTCATGCCTGTAATCCTAGCTACTCAGGAGGCTGAGATCTGAGGATCAAGGTTCAAAGCAGCCCAGGCAGGAAAATCTATGAGACTCTTATCTCCAATAAACCACCAGAAAACTGGAAGTGGAATTGTGGCTCAAGTGGTAGAGTGCTCAACTTCAGCTGAAGCACTGAGGGACAACACCCAGGCCCAGAATTCAAGCTCCATGACCAACCAAAAAAAAAATTCCATTACATATTTCTACACAACTTTTGACTTAATGTTGTAAAAATCCTAAAACCATACACAAGAATTTAAAAGAAAACTAGGTGGGCTGGGAAGGTGGCTTAGTGATAGAGCACTTGCCTTGCATGCATGAGGCCCTGGGTTCGATTCCTCAGCACCACATAAGAAAAAAGAAAAAGGCCAGAGGTGGTGCTGTGGCTCCAGTGGTAGAGTGCTAGCCTTGAGCTGAAGAGCTGAGGGACAGCACCCAGGCCGAGTTCAGGCCCCATGACCAGACCCCCCCCAAAAAAAATACTAGGCACAGAGAGTCATAACTTGTAATCCCAGATACTTGAGCCTAGACAAAAAATTAGCAAGACATGAGAACAATATCAACCTCTTCATTCTAGACTCATTGTAGGGTACTCAAGAATGGCCTGCTCCAGTTTGGCACTACTGGGAGATGGTAGAAACATTAAGAAGTCAAGTCTAATGGATTATAAATCATTATGGTCGTGCCCTCAAAAGGGATTGTAAAACTCTGGATCTCATTGTCTTCCTTTAATTTTTCATACCTGTCCCTGCTGTGATTTACTATGAACCGAAGGATGAAGCAATAAAGCCAATCACTCAGAAGCCAAAACCTCTAAAACCTCAGAAATGGTGATCCAAAATAAAACTTTCCTCCTTTTTTTTTGGTGCTAATACTAGGGCTTGGATTCAAGTTTTGCATTCATGTTTGGCTTATTCATGCAAGGCTAACATTGTACCACTCAAGCCACAACTCCACTTCAAGCTTTTACTAGTTAACAGAAATAAGAGTCTCTCAGATTTATCTGCCCTGCTGGATTTCAATTTCGATCTTCAAATCTCAGATTCCTGAGTAGGTAGGATTAGAGGCATGAGCCATCAGCATCTGAGTACTTTACCCTTTTTAAGGTGATTTAGGTCAGGTAGTTGTAAAGAATAATGGAAAGCTAACTAATGCACAGAGGAACATAAAAAATCTCTTCAGTCTTTTCAGTTTTGTAAGTTTGTAACACACACACACACACACACACACACACACACTAACCTGTCGAAATACTTCATTGACAAAATTGACGTAACCTCGTGTTGACAAAAGGATCTGCTGTACCATTTCATACACTGTTCGGTGCTCTTCTTCAATGCTACAAAGGCTGGAGTTGCTGAGTCTTCGGTCAGACAAGGTGCTACTGTTAGAATGGCCTCTGTCCTGTTCTGTAGGCCCACTACCATCCAGCTCTGGTGCTTTCTCTTGCACTGCACCACCAACAGTCTAGAAGACAGTCATTATACTTCTGAGAGACCCACATTCCCACTCAAGAGAATTTGGCAGAGTTTGTTGCTTTATGCTTTGCATTTTGGATTTTGTGGGGCAATCTGGTGTTGTGGATTAGATCAAGTGTTTATGTTCATCCACCCTAGCCCCAAAGTACTCCATCTCTCACAACTTGAACAGAACACAACAAGCTAAAAAAAAAAGCAATTTCTTATAAACTTAGGATCTAGAACCTGTACTTATCAACTTTCTAATTAACCAAATAATCCATCCTCTTCTAAGTTGTTTTAACTGGAAAAGTACTAAGTTATTTCAAGGAAGAGGGCCTTGAAATATTATCATCTAAAAATTTCATTTGCATTAGTAAGCTCATAGAATAAATTAAAATGTAAATAAATACATGAGCATTATTATCACTCTCTCTCTACACTTCAGCATTTACTTCATGATCACGGAGATGTGAAAATTCAGGAGACTTCTTATAGCAACCACACTGGAATACCTCATATGATTCAAAGCTACAGGTGGACATTATTAGTTCCAGGCCCAAGAGGCTGAAGTTAAAATTTCTTATCTCTTGAAACAGTATGCTCTTGGCGCTCCATGCACCAGCACAAGTCCAACTACTCCAGTAGTGAGACAGCATGGAAAAATGTTTCAGCTGGGTTCAGCCTTCTGAAGTAACAGGTATATGAATGAGGGCATTTCGGAGCCTCAAGACCAACCAACCAGCTGCCAGCTGAAGGCTGCCACCCAGTGACCCTAGTCAATACAACAGAAAGCACATACAAATGTCCCAACCAAATCCTGACCTAATTCCTAGCACCCCAAAGTGAAGCACAAAGCTGGGTGCCAGGGGCACACACCTGTAATCCTAGCTACTCAGGAGGCTGAGATCTGAGGATTGTAGTTTGAAGCCATCCTGAGCAAGAAAGTCTGTGAGGTTCATCTCCAATTAATCACAGAAAAGGCTGGAAGTGGCACTGTGGCTCAAGTGATAGAATGTTAGTCTTGGGTAAAAGGAGCTCAGGGACAGTGCCCTGGTTCATAGTTCAAGCCCCAAGACTAGCAAAAAAAAGTGAATATGAAATGATATAATATGAAAATATATATATATAAATTCAATATGAAAAAGGGCTGTTTTAGGTTACTAAATTTTGAGGTAGCTTTATGACACAGAAATATAACTAATAACATAGATAGATAGATAGATAGATAGATAGATAGATAGATATAGTTTTATACATACATATATTAAGTTTAAAGGCATTAAGTCATTTGAAAATAAGCTTTACCAAATAGAACACAACAATATCATAAAGGGATTTCTCATCATGTCAAAACATAAAATGCTTTCCTTGGCTTTGTCTTGTCCACACAGGCACAGCTCATAGGTCATTAATTAAAGGCTGGCTAAAAATTAGTAAAAATGATATTTTATTGATGCAATTAAATAGTGCTATAAATAAATATTGTTCTGCCATCTCAAACTTCCTTTTTCAGTCCCTGAACTTCCTTGCATTGTAATGTCTAACTAATATATAAAAGTGACAAAAACTAGCTGCTGCTAAAATGCTAAAATCGCCTGTTTGCATTTTTGACTTTAAAAAATTATCAGTACTTTCTGTATGCCAGTGGCTTATGCCTGTAATCCTAGCCACTCAGGAGGCTGAGAGATCATAATTCACAGACAACCTAGGCAGGAAAGTCTATGAAACACTTATCTCCAATTAACTACCAAAAGGCTGAAAGTAGAGCTGTGTCTCTAGCGTTAGAGCACTAGCCTCAAGCAAAAAAGCTCAGAGACAGTGCCCAGGCCTTGAGTTCAGGCTCCAGGACAAGCACCAAACATCAACAAAAATTACCAGTCCTTCTGTCATATCTAAAAGTAAATTTTAGCCATGTACAATAATTTATACCTACAATCCTACCACATGGGAGACTGAGGCAGGAGGATCACAAATTTGGGGCTAGTGTGAACCACATAGCAAAATCTTGTCTAAAAAATTAAAAAAAGAATTTCTTAGGAATAATACTTCACTAAAACTATTTTTAGCTGAAATTATATACCAAGAACTACAGAGTTAAAAGGGAAGCTGCGTTTGCTACACCATAATATGGCATGTACAAGTGCCTGTATTTTCATTTTACCATGAATGATGTCACTTGATACTGTCTGGATCTCAAGTGTCCACCAAAGACCTATGTATTGAAGGCTTGGTCCCAGCCTGAGGAACACTGGGAGGCTGTGGAATTTTTAGGTGATAGAGCCTACAGTTAGGAGGAAAGGTTATTGAGAACATGCCTTTGAAGAAGATATTTAGACCCTGATCCTTTTTCTGACTGTCTCTTTGCTTCCTGGCCACCATGAGAACAGGCCTCATGTGGGTCTTCTTGCCATGATGTTCTCCCTTGCCAAAGCAACAAGACCAAACAACCATGGACCAAAACCTTCTAAATCATGAGCTAAAATAAACATTTCCTTCTTTTAAATTGACTCAGGTATTTTGTCATAGTAAGAGAAAGATTACTAATACAACACTGAAAATGAAATCCCTTCATAGTAAGCTAAGTCTAGGTACACTAATTTTTTACTTTCTGGTAAAATGTACTGTCAAAGTCATTTGTTTTAGATCAAGAGAAGGAACTAATTTCAGCTTTGGAAACAGCACTTCATATATTATGACCTTTAACAAAAATGTGACCAAAATTGAGCCCTATTTTCAAACAGTAGTTTAAATATTTTTAAAGGTTACAAGAGTCCTATGAAAAGGGAAAGTCTGTGAGGAAAGTCTTTGAAAAGAGGTTTGTGATTACCCAATTTGGGAAGTAATTTAGAATTTAAATTCTAAACAAAATTTTGAGGTGACAAATATACTCAGCAATCAAATATTCCAGGCTTAATCTGTTACTTTTTCAAGAAATAACATAAAATTCAAATGCTCTTACACATCAAAGGAAAAAAATAATAAAGAGATAACTTATGGGAAAAATCTTTGCTAGCTACTCATTCAATAGCATATCAGAATATATAAAGGACTAAAAGGCATAACATAAAAACAAATTAAAAATAGGCAAGTGATCTAAATAAACACTTATCTCAAAAGAAGAAATTTAATCCTAGTTACTCAGGAGGAGATTCACAATTGAAGGCCAGCCTAGGCAAAAAGTTCCAGAGACCCTCATCTCAATCATTAGTTGGGTGTATTGGTGAATACCTGTCATTCCACTTAAGGTATCTTAATCAGGAGGATCAAGGTTCCAGAACAGTCTTATCTCAAGCCCCTCAAGTCCTACCATCCAAAAAGCAAGATCCTGTGAAGCCCTGAGTTTAAATCCTTGTACTGAAGAAAAAAAAGAAGGAAGAGGTGAAAGAGAGGAAGAGAAGGAGGAACAAGAGGAGGGGGAACAAGAGGAGGAGGAGGAGGAACAGGAGGAAGAGAAGGAAGAAGAGGAGGAGGAGGAGGAAGAGAAGAAAGGAAGAGAAGGGGAAGGAAGAGGAGACAAATGGACAATGAATATATGAAAAAATGCTCAATAATTTTAGTTATCGGGATAATGCAAATCAAAATAACAATGAAATTCCATCTCACCCCAGTTAAAATAGCTATTATCAAAAACAAAAGAAAGAAATGCTGGCAAGATAAAATAAATGCAAATCAAAACAACATTGAGATTCCACCTCACCCCAGTTAGAATGGCTATAATCAAGAACTCTAATAACAACAGATGCTGGAAGGGATGTGGACAGAAGGGAGCCCTACTGCATTGTTGGTGGGAGTGTAAACTTGTTCAACCACTTTGGAAAGCAGTATGGAGGTTCCTTAAAAGACTCCACATAGAGCTTCCCTGTGACCCAGCAATCCCACTTTTGGGCATTTACCCAAATGATCACAAACAAGACCACACTAAAGCTACCAGCACAACTATGTTTACTGCAGCATTATTTACCATAGCTAAGATATGGAACCAACCCAGATGCCCCTCAGTAGATGAATGGATCAAGAAAATGTGGTGTATATATATACATATATATATATATATACACACACACACACACAATGGAATTCTATGCCTCCATCAGAAAGAATGACATTGCCCCATTTGTTAGGAAATGGATAGACTTGGAAAAAATTATACTAAGTGAAGTAAGCCAGGCCCAAAGAAACAAAGGCCCCATGGTTTCCCTTATTTGCATTAACTAGTATATGCTGAGACATGCAGAAAAGGTCAGATATGTTGATGTTAGGTGGAATGAACCCCAAGATAAGTATTCAAATGTTTTTTTTACTTTCATGCGATTGTTCCTAACATATTTATAAGATGATTTCTTTGTTGCTTTGTATGTCCCTCCAACATGATATAACCTATAACCCCTGCTTTCACTGTATTTGATGTTGGTATAATTTGTGGAGGGGAAGGGAAAAAACAAATCGTTTAAATAGGGATACAGGTGGACCCATTGCAACAATGAGATGTACAAATTGTTATGTCGAAAAACGAACTTTACAACTTTGGTGGGAGGTGGGAGGAAGGAGGAATATGGGGGGAGGGGAGCGGGATATGGGAAGGGATAGGAAGGGGAAACAAAGGAGGAAGTAACAATGCTTGATAAGAAATGTACTCATTATCTTTCCCATGTAATTGTAACTCCTCTGTATGGTATTTTCATAATAAAAAATTAAAAAAAAATAAAAGAAACGCTGGCAAGGATGTGGAGGAAAAAAAGAGCCCTTAATGCTGCTGATAGAAATGTAAACTATATAGCCACTGTGGAAAACAGCATGAGGGTTCTTATATTTATCGAAATGAACTCCAGGAAATAGAAACAAGAGTTTTTTCTTTGTTGTTTTTTTAAATTTATGTCTTGTTTGTTCATTTATCTGTTTTGGGGAAGGTAAGGGGGGCAGAGAAATGGAGAGACAAAGGGTGAACAAATGTAGCTGTGGTACTCACTAGAAACTATGCTGAAAATGGACTATAAAACTTGTAGGTGGGGTTGGGAGGGAAAAACTGGGAGAGTGGTGGAAAAGGTGACACTGTCTAAAAAGAAAGGTACTCATTACCTGCCTTATATAACTGTACATTACCTTCATAACAATAAAAATGAATAGAAAAATCCCTAAAAATAGAACTACTATGATTTGGCTATACTACTTGGGAGTATATGTCTGAAGGAAATGAAGTCAGAACACAAGGAACACCCACATGTGCATGTTTATCACAGCACTATTCACAATAGACAAGGTATGGAATACTTCTAGGTACCTATCAATAGGTAAATGGACAAAGAAAACATGGTATACATACTCAATGATATTATTCATCCATAAAGAATAAAATTTATCATCTGTAGAAAAATGGATAAAACTAGAGGACATCATATTAAGTGAAATAAACCAGACACCAAAAGAAAATATTGCATGTTTTCTCTCATATGTGGAAACTAAAACAAATTAATAAATAAGAAAACAAGCCTCATTATAGGCTCATGCCTATAATTCCAGCTACTCAGGAGGCTGAGGTCTGAGGATTGCGGTTCAAAGCCAGCCCAGGCAGGAAAGTCAGTGAGGCTCTTATCTCCAATAAACCACCAGAAAACCCGAAGTGGTGCTGTGGCTCAAGTGGTAGAGCACTCGCCTTGAGCTGAAGAGCTGAGTGACAGCACCCAGGCCCAGAGTTCAAGCCCCATGACTGGAAAAAAAAAAAAGAAAGAAAAAAAGAAAAAAAGAAAGCTGGTGCTCATGGCTCTTGCCTGTAATCCTAGCTACCCAGGAGGCTGAGATCTGAAGATCATGATTTGAAGCCAGCCAATTAACCACCAGCAAACTGGAAGTAGTGCTCAAGTGGTAGAGCACTAGCCTTGAGCAAAAGAGCTCAGGGATAGCACCCAAACCATGAGTTCAAGCCCCATAACTGATTTTAAAAAAAAAAAGGAAAAAAGAAAGAAAAAGATTACTTGAATATAAAAGAGGAGCTATTATAGATTACAAAAGTGGCTGATGGAATGAAGATAAGGGAGAGGTAGAAGAAGAAATGTTGATAGATATCATCAAAGCATGATGCATGTAAAATATATGTACGCATGGACATATGAACCTTTAAGATATGTAGTCTGTATTAATAATTACAAAAAAACTGTGGCTTTTTCACCTACATGAATGAAAAGTGCAGTAGACATACATGAGATGAGATGGGAAACATACTACTTACTCTAGGGCAGAAAAGGGCATACAAGAAACAACCAAGATAGGCCCCAAATAAAGACCTTCCCCAAAGATGTCCATCTCAGTTCCCCAAGTTTGTAACTACATCACAGATGTAATGTAACTTGGCAAAAGGGACTCAGCCAATGGTGATTAAGGATGTGGAGATGAGGAGACAGTCTAAATTATGTCAATGTAATATAAGAGGAAAGCAAGAGGATTGGGGATTGGAATTAGTTGACAATGGAAACAGGACGAGAAAATGATGTGATGAGCCAAGGAATGAAGTGGAACGACAGGGCAAGGAAACAAAAATCTTCCTGAGCACCACAAAAGAAACCCAGACCTCTCAAAACCTTGATATGTTAGCTCATGGACCTGGGTTTTTACCTCCAGAAATCTAATACAGTAAGTTTGCCTGCCTCAAATCTTTTACTTTGTGGCGATGTTTTACACTGGCAATAGTAAACAAACACATCCCACTGTGGATGATAGTAACAATCTCTCCACAACACAGTCATCAAGGTATAGGTCTTATTTCATTCATTTTTCCCGGGACTCAAAGGCCCTTTCATTCTAAGACATACATGTCTTTTTTTTCAGCCCAGGTAAACTTTTCGTGTTATTATTTGCGCACTTATTGTTATTCATTCTTTTACTCATTTATCTAAACATTTTTAAGATAGATCTGAACCTGCCTTCAGGTCTTATTAATTTCTGATTTCTGACTGAATTTTGACTCAGAGTTGTAGGATGTTTCCACAGAACACAATTTTGTTCTCAGTAGTGGTCGCTATCACTTCCATTTTATCTATAAAAATTTTATGCTATAAAATTTAAGTTCTTAAAAAAACTTTCAGCAAAATTTTTTTATTCTTATTGGAACTCTATCTCCCTCAGACTATTTTGGGAAGTTCTTAGTAAGCTGTCTTCAATAGAACAATATGTTCTAGACTCTGTTTACTATTCCTGTATCTAATGACTCTAAGGCTCTAATGACCTTCAAGCATGCAAGCCAACTGGTCTGGCTTCTGGGTTTGTATGTTCTGCTAGCTCAGGGATAGGATATACTACCTGAACCTCCAGACTATCAGCAAATCTGCAATAAGTATATCATTCTTCTTGTCCCAATTCTTGGGGACAAGAAACAAAAAAAAAGCATCCTGAACCACGAACCTCCCAGTGAAGTAGCAGGTCTTGATCTCCACATGTAACAGTGTTCTACCAAATACACAGTCTCTAAGCAATGTAACCTACTGCAAAGGTCCCTTTATTTACGTATTTGAGCAAGGCCAAGAGAGAAAACTCTTTTCTGAAGGCCTTGAGTAGAAATGGTTTACTCTTCTAGGGTCCACATCATAGTAAAACAATCCTGAAAATTCTGAGCTGCTGATGCACTCTCTTCCCCAAGAGGGGAGCTGGCAGCATGAGCCTTTCTCTGGGCCACCTATGTGAATATTTCCTGAGGGTCTTCCAGTGCTGGTGACTGGTGAAGGAAAGATAGGACCCTATGCTCAGAGATCTCCAGCACTTGAGCAAAGAAGTGAGAATGAAAGCAAAAGGAGACTGCCCATCTGTGCCATCTTCTTATAACTCCTCCCCTGCCCAAGACTGCCTTGTTATGGCAATTCTTAATACATGAGGCTCCCTCTGACACCTCAACATTACACACATTAAGCCAATAAACTAAAAACTTACAGACTCATAGCTCTCATAATCAATGCCTTTGGTTACATCTTGGTGTGTCTTACTCTTCAAGGCTAAGAGATTTAAAAGATGATGAATGGCATACCTGGATGATTTTAGGCAATACATCAACTCCATTTTTAGTGTTATGTGTTGCAGTTAGGTACTTTTTTTCCAAAAAGAAAGTTACAATCCACTTAATAAAAACAACACGAGCTGCCATGTATGGAATTTTTGTACTGTATGTGGTTTCATTATCTCGAGTAGTAGTGATGTACACTGGCTTTGGTCTCAAATGTGGAACATCTGGTAGAAAATAAGAACATTAATTAGATGACTCTTAACATAGCATAATCTCTATACATGTTTCAGTTTTCACTTAAATTAACATATATTTGGTAGTTTAAGTAGAAACTAAGAATGAAGACCCACAAATAGATACAGTAATAGCATCTTTTAGAAGGCCTTTCCAATTGTGCTTTGCAAACTGACCAAACAAAAGCTGCAGCCACTGTTTACACACAACTACAGTATACAGCTATGGAGAAACTAGGTCAATAATTCTTTTTCACAATTTAGACAAATCTTAAGACTATAATAGTGAAGATCTCTTCATATATATTACATCTAACTTAATCTTATTTTATGGCTTCCTCAAATATAAAAATGCATATAAACTTCTGAAAATCATTTTAGGCATTTTAATATCTAATACTTCATTAATTTAAGTCCACTGACTTTAGTTTTATATCCTTTTCTTAGAAGAATCCAAGAAAACAGAATCAACATATTCCACTTTATGTCTAAATCCAGAAAGTCACATTTCATCTTTGAGATACCCAATGTCCTTATTTCCAAAGAAGATAGTTCCTTTAACATTTTTTGAATTCCATGATATAAAAAAATTGTCAATTTTCTATCTTCATTAATTTTAGTACAACTGGAATATCTGCCTGAGGCAATAAAGTTTTCAATAAATAACTTCTAACCCATTAACAGTGAACAGTTTTTATAGTGACTATAGTATATATACATATATAGTACATATAAAGTCAGACTCTCTATATAAAACTAATAAAATATACATCCATGTATCTCTAAAAGTTAGTACTTCTTATCTTTCAAAATATAACAAGCTTCATCTACCCTCCTTCTTGCCTGTATGTGTGTGTGTACATGTATACATGGCAAAGAAAGCTGAATTAGTTGAGCACATCCTCAGATGGAATAAAGTCTCTTGTGATCTTTTCCCTCCATGGCTGTTTTTGGATTTGTTATTATTTTGTTTTGTTTTAGCTTGGGGGTCTTTAAGTGATGCCTGCATCTCAATCTCTGCCAGGAATTGTGGGTGCAATAACCACAATGCCCTCAGGTTTTGACAAAACATGATGTCTTCAAGGGCAGAGGCAGAAAGCCTGGTTCTTTGAGCACAGCCCTGGAAGCTGTGGGGAGAGCAGAAGAACCAAGATCCATACCCCAGTCCTACTATGCTTCCAGCCTGAGAGGAGAAGCTGAGGCATCCCTTGCCAAAGTCTCACCTATAGCTCTGCACTCAGATTCACTGCCCTGAGCTATTCTCTGCTCCTATGAGGGGGTCAGTGAAATGGGACCAGTCAGTGCAGCACTGCAGTTCAAATTGATAGTAGGGCTGGATATAGCGATGGAGCTGCTGGTGGAAGCCAATACCAGTGACCAGGTGTTTTCTGCAGGCACATTCCAACGTGCTCCTGCTGTGGCTGTGTTTTTTATTAGTCTTGATAAGCCGGATAATTTCATACTATACCTTTCTCCACAGTTCTTCAGTCTTCTTCCAGTCTACTGGATGTAGGAATATGACCTTGACACAGAGCTCACACAGCTTATTCTTAGACTAATGTTCTATGGTTTGAACACTTCTTGATAAGCAGTTTTGTTGCAAAGGATGAGGTCAAGTCGATGTACACCCTCCACCATAGCTCTTTACTTTGGGCTCCTTATTCTCCCCTCCAAGGGGGACCTTGGCTCATGGTACCAGGCTAGGAGGTAACTCCTAGTCACAGGCCCCTGCCACCATCGTTACCTCCTCCACTGCCATCACTGAAGCACCACTGCTGTGAGCCCTGCAAGGCCCACCTCCACCTACCAAGTCCCCCCAAGCTGTTTTTGATCAGTCATTTTAATTGTTTTAAGAGGGAGATTCATCTCCCCTCACCACTCTGAGGGATGCTTCTGATCTGTAAACCTTCGTTTCTTCTGTTTGTTGGTTAGGTAGAGTGTTTTGGTTTTATTTGTTTTTACAATTTTAAAGTTTACTTTATTAGCAGCTGAGGAGGTGAAGAGGGATTGCTGTGAATATTCATTCACTTTGTCTGTTGTTGTTTTTTTTGAAACAGGCTCTTGCTATGTAGGCCAAATGGGCCTGTAACTCAGTATGCAGCTGGTTGGTGTTGCACTTGCAATCCTGCTGTCTCAAGCTTCTAAATTCTGGGATTTCAGGCATGTACCACCACAGCTGGCTCCTTGTTTCTTTCTTTTTATTTTATTTTGTTTTTGGATAGTACTGGGGCTTGAACTCAAGACTTCAGGCTTTCTATGCATGTGCTCCACCACTTGAGCCACATTCCCAACCCTTTTTTGCTTTAGTTATTTTTCAGATGGAATCGTACTTTTCCCTGGGGCTGACCTTGGACCATGACCTTCCTACCACTGTCTCTTATATAGATGGAACTGCAGGCATGAATCACCATGGCTGGCTTATTCTGGGACAGGGTCTCGCTAACTTTTTGCTAAGGCTGGTCTCAAACCAAGATCTACCTATCTCTGACAACCACTTGGCTGAGATTTATTGGTATGAGTCACTGTACCGGGTCCTCATTTTTTTGTTGTTGATTGTGCTGGACCAAGGACTTCAACTCAGGGCCTGGATGCTGTTGCTGAGCAATTTTGCTTAAGCCTAGCATTCTACAACTTGACCTGAAGCTCTACTTCTGGATTTTATCTGAGCCTCATTTTTTTATAGAAGTAAAACTTTTGGAGCCAAGTTAGAAATTACTTTATATTTCTTAGCTCTCTGGGACTTGCTGTCCCTTGCTTGTCCAATCACACAAATATCTTCCCTCCATAATTAACTCTCAATACTATCTGCTATGTAAAAGACCAAGTATGAAAGAACATATATACTGTGGGCAACTGTGTGCCCTGGGCCGGCCTGCCTCCTCAGTGAGCTAGGTGTGGGCTTATCATACACCACCCATGGGAAAAGCCTGGAGATATAAAACATCTTTTTCCATTAAAAGATGGCTAATATAACTGTACCCAAAACTTCATAAGTTATTTCAAAGTATAGAAGCCAGGGTTCCCCCTTATTGCTATGAGGTAAAATATACCTTAGTTGGGCCACATAATTTAAATAACTTATTAGAAAAATTTAAACCTCTTTCAATAGTAACATTACTATTCAATACAAAGTTAAAGCTATTTTTCTCTAAATAAGGTTACTCTGAAAGTGACTGCATAGCTTTCCTGTGAGTATCTACACAGTCCAAATGTGTACTTACCAAGTACAGGTTTGTAGATATTTGTTAACTTAGTAAAAGATGGAAACAAATGGGGAAGATAATATTTTCGAAACAGTGTAAAAAGAAACTTAAACCCAGTATCCTGGTTCTCCTTATTCTTCCACTCCAAGCTTGCAGCCTAAGGAAAACACATGAAAAAGAACACATGGATATTTATACTCAAATTAACATATACTGAATGAAATTCTGTTATGATTAAAATTCATACCCTACATTTTAAAAATTATTAACTACTATTACATGTAATGAAATAATATCTTAACAGTTCAAAATATGACCATTTTGTAAGTGGTATCAAGTATTTTCAAACATACACTACTACATAAACCCCACATTACTCAGGTGTTTTGGGTTTTTCTTGGTGGGGGGGTTGGTTGTAGGGACTGAACTCTAGGCCTGGGCACTGTCCCTCAGCTCTTTAGCTCAAGGCTTGCACTCTACTACTTGAGCCACAGTGCCACTTCTGGCTTTTTCTGCTTATGTGGTAGTAAGGAATCGAACCCAGGGCCTCATACATGCAAGGCAAGCACTCTACCACTGAGCCATCTTCCCAGCCCGACTCAGGTGTTCTTTAAAATGATTAAACATTTCTATGCCTTTAGAAGATTTAGTCAAGAATAGTCAGGTACTTTTCCTAAAATCAAAAAAGGCCATTTATAATAAGAGGAGTTAAAGACAAAAATCCTCTCAGTGATTTCATCCAATGTTATCTACATACATAATCAATATCAAAAGGCAAAAGATATAGAATCTTGGAAAATACATTCCCCTCATTAAAATGAATTCACTGGCTAAGATAAGCCAGGTCTGCTAGTCTAGCTTTGGTTTCAGTTTAAAGCTTTTACAGAACTAAAAAAAAAATCCTCTCCCTCATAACCTAGTATACTGTGTATATAATGTGAACAATCCAAAACAGCTCACTAACTGGCAGCACCCCCAGAAACCAAGAGGAAAGCCTGTTATTAAGGCACAGTCACCTGCATATTGCCAAAGGAAAGGTGGTGTGGAGGGAGGGAGGGCAGTAAGAGAAGACCTATCAGTGGTTCTTAATACTTGTCAAACTAAAGCATGGCTTCTCAACTTCCTTCATGAGTAGTACAGTTAGAAAAGGATAATATCTGTGTAGCACCTGAAATAAAAAATGAAGAGATGCTTTGGCTGTCCCTTGGGCAGATGGGTTCAGCATCCAAATCTACCAGAAGCTCTACTATGAAGACTCACCCCAACAGACAGAAGGGAAGGCAAAAGTCACAGATATGAACATAACCCACCCACAAATAAAGCTCTATGATCTATCAATGCCAAATCCCTCTGACGAGGATCAAGATGATTTATGTGACTTAAGCATTAGTGACACATTTAAAATAAGAACCTAGGACCCCCAGTGTGTGCAAGTTCTGGGTACTCTTGTGTTGACTTCCCAGGAAAAATTAATGTCCCCTTTTGAACACGTAGTATTTGAGACACATATCTAAAGGCAAGAGCTCAAACATGAGTCAGATAACACACACTGTCAGATTCTCCATATGTGTTTCTAGTACAGACTAAATACCATAGAGTAGAGGCAGAGATCAGGATTGCCCAGCAAGGTTGAGTAGTTAGAAATGGAAGTCAAGTACTAAATCTTGGGAGATGGCAGAGAAAAGCACAATTCCCTAAAGACAAGTGGAAAGAAGTGGGAGGAAAAAAAAGGAAATGCTAGAAGAAAACATGAGAGAAGAGAGTCTCATAAGGAGATGGGTAAGCCGGGCGCCGGTGGCTCACGCCTGTAATCCTAGCTACTCAGGAGGCTGAGATCTGAGGATCCCAGTTCAAAGCCAGCCCAGGCAGGAAAGTTCGTGAGACTCTTAACTCCAATAAACCGCTAGAAAACCGGAAGTGGTGCTGTGGCTCAAGCGGTAGAGTGCTCGCCCTGAGCTGAAGAGCACAGGGACAGTGCCCAGGCCCAGAGTTCAAGCCCCATGACCGACAAAATAAAAAAGAAGGAGATAGGTAGTCATTGCCAAACCATTTCAAAGAATAAGTAGAGTAAAAACTGGAGTATACTCCCCACATATAGATTAGACCCCACCTTGTACCATTGTCTGGGAACTGGCATTTCAACAGTGGCTGGCACAAGGTAAACAATAGTGGTGCTGAAGAAGTGTACAGTGAGGAAATTGACAGAGAAGATAGTGATTTCAACAGAGTCGACTATGAAGGGAAGGTCAGACTGGACTACAGCTAGGAGCATATGGACAAAAGAAGAATTCACTAGGAAAAAAGAATGGAAGGATTTTATTCTAACTATACCAATGTACAAAAATAGAAAGAAAATGACAAATTAGCTATTAGAATCAGAAACTGATTTCAGCTCTATATTCCATTGATGAATCTAAGAAAAAGGAATGTGTGTCATGAAGCGGGTCAGCTCATAGCCCCTCATGGCTGCTTTCATGAAGATAACCCTGCCGGCCCTGCCTGTTCCTGACTCTTTGCCCAGGCTCTAGGCCTGCCTCCTTCTCTAGAGAAGGGATAAAGAATGAGAAATTGTTTAAACACATTCCTACAAAATAGCACTTATGACTGCTCTTGCTTTAAATCACAAAAAAATCACGTCAAAGAAAAAGAAAAATATGGATATAGAGAAAAAAAGAAGGCAAGCAATATTTCTTCCCTCCTACTGAGAACAAACACTTCACTCAAAGAGGTTTGCTTTTTCTCTGACCTGAATAACCATATACTTCAACAATATTTGAAGAAAAAAGCAGGTTTGGTCCTCACTGATCTTCTCTCCTGATATGGCTGGTAGGAGTGGAGTTATTTCTTCTGGATATATCTTTGCTGTAGAATAGAAAACATCAAGTTAATAACTTTCTAGGTGAAATTGTCAATAGGGTTTTGGAAAAAATGGTCTTTATTAAAATATACCACTGGAGTACTTATACTGAACTCCAAACTAATGTGCATAAAGGGTACAGAAATAGAAATGCCCACCTTTCCCACTGAAACATTCCTTCTCTTTCAAGTTCTACTTTGGTTAGTCTTTGGATGGCTCATTCCTATAATCCTAACTACTCAGAAGGCTGAAATCTGAGGATTATAGTTGAAAGCCAGCCCAGGTAGGAAAGTCTGTAAAACTCTTATCTCAAATTAACCACCAAAAAGCCAGAAGTGGAGCTGTAACTCAGGGAGTAGAGTGCTAGCTGTGAGCACAAAAGCTCAAGGACAGTGCACAGGCTCTAAATACAAGCCCCAGAACTGGTACAATTAATTAATTAATTAGCTAATTAATTAATTTTAGGAAGATCAAATGCTAGTCATGTGGCTATGAAAGGATATGTACTAATAACCCAATGGACCCTACCAGGAGTTCCTTAAAAATCCATACGACACAAATGGTCCCATGAGATCACTACTGATCTTTTATTAACACTGCATGAGAGCACATAGCTGACAACTAAGTTGATTATCCACTTATCAATAGGGAGGAGAACAAAAGTCAGTCATTTGGGAAGGCAAATTTAAATTTTATTAGCAAACACTTCAAATATACCATATGTCTCTACTTCCTGCTACTGCCAAATTCTGTTCCTTCCATTTCTACCCCTTCATTAAACTTTTCCTATCATTTCATTGAATATACACTATTTACACAAACATTTATTCTAATGTTTGTAAGGACAGACTGTAAATTACAGAGAACTGTTCCTCTTCAGACCCTATCAGTATTTCTACTTGTGAAAATGAGAAACCATTAAAATGAGAAACCATGTTAAATCTGCTGACAGATACTGCTTACCATCAGCTACACTAGGGCTAGGATTGATGAGTGTCTCCAGTGTGCAGGGCCCCCTGGATGACAAGACTGCCGGGAAACCAGGCACGAGGCATGCAAAAATCAGCACCTGTTCTTCTGCACAGTTTGTCTGAAGTGCTTGAAGCCACAAAAGAAACAGCCTGATTCCTTCACATCTTATCTGAAAGCAAAATAAAAAGCAATGAAAATAGCATACATGTGTTTACAGAAAAAGCACTGTGAAGTAGCATCAACCTTAAGAGAGAAAAACTAGAGAGCTAGGTATGGTGGCCCATGCTTGTAATCGCAGTGCTCCAAAGATTGAAGCAGGAGAATCAAGAATTTTAGAATAGCCTAGGCTACACAGCAAGACAAGAGATAGAGAGACAGACAGGCAAACACATAGAGACAGATATACAGAGAGACAGAGAAGAAATACAGTCATAGTATTAAATGTGCATGTGTGGAAATGAAACTAGGTAACGTGAGGAGATAGGTGGGGTTGGGAGAATTGGGGGAGAACGATGGAAGGAGTGACACTGATCAAGATAATACATAAATGTATAAACTCATAAAGCAATATGGTGAATTTTTTTAAAATAAAAGTGAAACTAGAAGTTAAAGGTACGATTAAAGTACTAGAGAGCAAGTTCTTCATTTAGTGACAAATAAGAAAAGATTACTATAATATACCACCAGAAGTTAAGAGTCTATTGAGAGGGCTACAGAGTCAGAGGGCCTAGGTTCAAAATCTGCTTCTGCCACTTTCTAGATTTGACTAGTCTCATCTATAAAATAGAGATAACAGCTTTTTACCACAAAACACTGTCAAGTATTAAATAAATAAACATGTGTAAGGCACATAAAACAATGCTGGTTCTCACTGAGCAATATGTGTTTCCTATTAAGCAGAGGTGAAGAGTCTTTTTCAGACAAGGTCCATGTGAATTTTTATATCATTAGGGGCCATTCAAAATTTTCAGTACAGGCAGACAGGCAATAGGCAGCTGAGGAGTGGCATCATCTGCCTTCCCCATCATGTACCAAATGACTTCGAGGACCTTGCATAGCTCATGGGCTACAAGTGTAAGGCAATAGTGTCGATAGCATCAATGTTCAATTACTGATGAAAATAATGGCAAAGATAATCTCACTCCAAATTCACATCATTTCAAGAGAATTTTCATGTCATTTGTAATCTGCACCTATTTACAATGTTCTTGAAAATAATAATACTTGCAGTTAATTAAGACTTTAAAGACCTGGCTCAGTGAGACAATGGAGCTATCCAGTTTCCCTGCTTTAAGCCTATCATCTATTCTCTTTCATATTTTCACCTTGCTCTGAATAGATGACATCACCTGACAGGAAACATGAATTTTTTTTATCCCTACACTTACTTCCAACTTCATCTTATTCCTAGAATTCAAAAATACGTATCTCCACTTCTCTGTGCTCCTAAGTGGTTGAAAAGATGATTAATAGAAGAACCTAAAGAAACAAATGAGAATGAAAATGTGCCAGACAGAGCTGAAAGACATAGTAAGCTCCAAATGTAGGCAGCTGGAGAGGCTTCCTTTTGCCTTTCAGTTAAGTGAAGATGGCACTGATTCCTCTAAAGCAAGTTCTGCAAACTGAACATGATGCTCTGCAGGAAAAAAAAAAACCCACAAGATACAGACATATATACCAGCATGTGCTCATATATGTATGTGTGTGTGTCTGAATGTATGTGTAGCTATAGCCTCACTAACTCCCAACAGAGTCAAAACATACCAAGATAAACATCCTAGCTGGTGACAGTGCTACGTCATTAACTGGTTGAGTGCACAGTACACTTCTATACATGCTCGTGTACTCCATCTACACTCTTCACAAATCTATATATTCAGTCAAACCTGTCTTCTTCTCAAGCACAGAAAATGAGTGGTAACATTGGCTATGCATTATTCAACCACCAGATATGAATGATGTGGCTCTCACTATATATAATCATAACATTTAACAAGAGAAAAGGTTGTCTGAAATATTATCAGAAGACGCCTCCCCTTTGTGCCAATCCTGGGGCTTAAATGCAGGGCCTTACATTCTTGCTTAGCTCAAGGTTGATACTACTACTTGAGCCACACCTCCACTTCTGGCTTTTTGAAAGTTAATAGGAGATAAGAGACTCCTGGAATTGTCTAACCAATTGCCTTCAAATTACTACCCTCACATCTCAGGTTCCTAAGTAGATAGGATTACAGGCATGAGCCATGGGTGTCTGGCAAGATCCCATTTTTAATGTTAACTATCTTTAAGTTCACTAGATGTAAATAAAACTAGCAATAGAAATAGATAACAACTTGATATCTCTTAATGACAAGACTATTCCTTTAAAATAAGAGGGACAGATATGGTAGGAATAGATGGCTTCTATTTTCCAACATGTAAGAGAGTTCACATATCAAGCTTTAAGTAGCTGGCTGTTTCGGCTGATATAAAAACAAAAATGTACTAACTTATTAAAGGCATACACAAACTTAGATACATGTGGATTATCCTCCATAAAATATTCATCCCAGGATGGCTTCATTTGGCTGCTCATGTTTTAGGTCTATTTTCTTCCAGTATCACATGGTCTGTGTCATTACTAAAGTTATATTCATTTTTAATTAAGCCAGTTCTAACCTAAATTACAAGATCTATTGTAAACAACCTAAATTACAAGATCCATTGTAAACAAATATTCCAGAATAATGTCCTACCGTTCTCCCCCCCAACACAATAGTTTGCAAAATTAATTTGGAGATGACTATTATTTTAAGAACCAGATAGCTGAGATGGATAATATCAGGCATGTTAGCTCTGAAGCTCAAGAGGAAGTACCCTTCCTTTCACTCTGATAAAACTGGAGCAATTGCTGCCTTGCCTGTGGTCCTTAGCTGTACCTAACAGAAGTACAACTAGAATCCGTAAGTCCAAGCCACTTCCTACTAATACAGTTTAGAATGACTTTTACAAATCATGTCAGAACAAAAACCTATCAAAATTTGTCATGAAATTTTAAAAAAGGCTAGTAATTTTAAAAGATTACCCTCCCCACCCAATGGACTTTGTTACTTTGTGGCACTAGTAAGTTTAAGAATATATATTATATAATATTGATATATGATATATAGAGTATTTATATATTCTTAAACTTATCAATATTATATCTTTTTAAAATGCCATTGAACTTTCATCTAAGTAAATACATTAAAATAATATAAATACCTTTATAGAATTTCCAGTGTGTAGAAGCTTCTTTAAAGTTGAGCCTGAAAGTTTAAAACAACTAATTAGAAATAGACTATATGAATAAATATTTTTAAAGTATACTGACCTAAGTATTTAATATACACTATGTGAAAAATAAACTATGTAATTAGTGGGCAGGGATGGGAGGGGAAAACTGGGGGAAAGTGAAGGAAAGGATGATGTTCTAGAATTGAACTCATTAGCTGACTTATGGAATTGTAACCCCTCTGCACAGCGCCTTAATAATAACAATAAAATTATATTTTAAAAAACTATGTCTCAATATTAAAGATCTATTTTATAAAATTAAATTTAAAAAAAGATCTATTTTAAGATATCCAATTTAATAACCAAAAATGCACTTATGACAAAAGATAGTTGTTCTAGAAACAAAGGAAAAAAGCTAATCTTTAGAAGCAAAGCAACTGTAACAGAACAAAAGATGTGTTCAAGATAAAAAAAAAATCCTGAGTATGTACCTCTTCAAAATTCGTTTAAAAGACTCAAAACAAAAACTATCCAAATGTTCACAATAGATTATCTCTTGTCATACATAATTTTAAAAAAATTGGTGTTGAACTAAGGGCCTCTTACTTAAGCTTTTGAGCTCAAAGCTGGTGCTCTACCATTTGAGCCACATTTCCACTTCAAGGATTTTGCTGATTAACTGGAGATACAAGTCTCACAGACTTTTCTACCCTGGCTGGCTATGAAGCTGGATCCTCAGATCTCAGCTTCCTGAGTAGCTAGGATTACAGGCATGAGCCACCAGCACTCAGCTTTATTTTCAATTTTAAAGATTGGGTTTTTTTTAATCTTTAAAATTGAAAATAAAGCTGAGTGCTGGTGGCTCATGCCTGTAATCCTAACTACTCAGAAGGCTGAGATCTGAGGCTTGCAGTTCAAAGCCAGTCCAGGCAGAAAAGTCTGTGAGACTCTTATCTCCAATTAACTGCCAGAAACGCACAAGTGGCGCTGTGGCTCAAGCAGCAGAGCACTTGCCTTGAGCTGAAGAGCTCAGAGACAGCTCCCAGGCCCAGAGTTCAAGCCCCATGACTAACAAAAAAAAAAGAAAGAAAGAAAAAAGAAATTGAAAATAAAGTGAAAGTACTGCTTACAAGGCATTTCTCCTTTGCAAATATTCAGAATGGCATTTCCCTGTCTGGACAATGATGAACACATTTATGGGTTTCGACACATCAATAAACACTTTGATAAAGGTCAAGAAGGCAGACTCAAGATTTATTCACAACTACTATCAACTGAAAAAACACTGATGTAATTTCTCTCTTAGGGGGACGGAAGCATATGACCCAAGTATTAATTTTATAACTGTGGTGACATTCTCAATATGGGCAGAGTATGCCACTCAAATATCATATGTAGACTTAAAATAGGATCTAACTTCCAAAAAAAAGGAAGTTTTTAAAAATAGAAATACATTCGAATTCTTAGGCTACAGAACTCTTTCTCTCAATCAAGTTACTTTTAAAGATCAGCTATCCAATTACATTTATTTTACTAATGTATTTCAAAGAGATGTTCCACCATAATATCCAACCAGTGTCAACACTTGATGAGAACCATAACTATGTGGATGTTGGGTATATACAAGACAGGAATTCATTAGGAAGAGCAAAACTATTGAAAGGAAACATTTATTTCATAGCTGCTAAACTGTAACTGTCAAACCTGTCTTTGGGGCCCTAATCTCTTTTATGAGGGGCACTAATTCCCTACTGATTACCATTCCATTGACTCATGTGAATAATTGGATGAATAAATAAAACATGATAAATTAAACTGATTTGATGAGCCCTTCTCTAGGCTTTTACTGCATTTTAAACAAAATATCCTTGAATGACTTATTACTTTTAAAGAGGCATCAAGAACACAAGCAAAAAGATAAAATGAGGGCTCTGCACAAATTTTAAGGAAAATCAAGAAATACAATAGTCAAGAAAAAATACTGTTTTAAAATAAGCAGTTTTGAAAAGCAAAAGTAATATTGATAAATAATATTAGAAGTTAAATATTGGAAATGTGCCAAGCCTGAGATAGAAAACACACATTTTAATGGTTAATCTTTTTAGAGCATTAAAGTAGTTGAAAAATTAAAAACTGGATGTATTAACACTCACAAAGACTGGCTTAAATACTTTATTTATAATAAAGAATGTGTTACAACTACTTTTATGGCTTTAGTAAAAGCAAATTTATCAATATTAGCTTCAAAACTCTATTCTTTGCTTCTCATTTTTGATGGCTGAGAACACACTTGACACCATCTTCTTGGTCAGGTGACAACCTTTAAAAGATCTTTAATAGGTATTTTTTGAGCCCAAAAAGGTGTGTGTGTGTTTGTGTGTGTGTGTGTGTCTGTCTGTCTGTCCTTGGGCTTTATCTTAGGGCCTACGAACTATCCCTGAGCTTTTTTGCTTAAGGCTAGAGTTCTACCACTTGAGCCACAGCTCCACTTTCAGATTTTTTTGGTAGTTTAGTGGAAATAAGAGTCTCAAGAACTGTACTGATTACCTTACTCATATAGCTGTAACCCCCTTGTACAGCATCTTTACAATAAAATAAAATTTAAAAAAGAAAAGAGTCACACAGACTTTCCTGTTCAGGCTGGTTTCGAACTGCAATCCTCAGATCTCAGCTTCCTGAGTAGCTAGGATTACATGTATGAACTACCAGTGCCCAGCCTCAAAATATATATATTTAATATTTCTTAAACATTATAAAATATTTTCTTTGTGCTTGCTTCAGTAGCATATTTACAAAATATAAAGTCCTTTCTTTTTTATGATTTCTTGGGGGGTACTGGTGTTTGAACTCACAGCTTCTCATTGTGAGGAAGTCCTTTTTAGAAGTAATTTTTTTGTGTTTGTACTCTGGTTCTGGTGCTTGAAGTTGGGGCGACACACTGTCCCTGAGCCACAGCTCCAGTTCCCTTTTTTTTTTTTTTTTTTTGGTAGTTAACTGGGGATAAAACTCTCACAGACTTTTCTCTTTGGGCTAGCTTCAAACCATGATCCACAAACCTCAGCCATCTAAGTAGCTAGAATTACAAGTGTGACCCACCATCACCGGGCCGTGCTAATTATTTTTAAGACAGGAAGAATTTGCTAAGAATTTGCTTCCTGCCTAGGTGTGTGTCTAGACCACAATCTGCATATTTTAGAGATGAAGGAATATACCATCATATGTAGTTTTCTTCAGTTAGAAATGTCTTGTGGAGTTTTCTGCCCTAACTTGGAACCATAATCCTCCCAATCTTAATCTCCCACATAGCTAGGCTTGAAGACATGTAGTACAGGGCCCAGCTATGCACTGAGAAGAGGTCTTACAAACTTTCTGCCAGGGTTTGCCTCAAACCTCAAACCTCTGGATCTACTCCTCCCAAATAGCTGAGATTACAGGCATGAGCCATTGGTGTCTAGTTCTATTTCTGTTTTGATTTCTTTAAAATGATCTCCATATATCATGGCTCAAACCAAATAACAAGCAATGCAGTATACCACCAGAAAAGGGTAAAGAACATGGCAAGATTCCCTCTGCAATGCTGATTTGCAAAGCATGCTGAAAGTAGGCAGAGGAGCAAGACCATAGGACTTTCTGGCACTACTAGATTCTACTAAGAACAAAGAAACAGTAGTCCACTGTAGGAATTTTAAATTAACCAAAAAATAGCTCAAAATAGATCAAAGACCTAAATGTGAATTAGAGCTATAAAACTGTTAGAAAAAAAAAGATCCATTTGTGACTGGGGTTAAGCAAAAGATTACCTAGATATAAGACCAATAATATAAACCATAAAAGACAAATGGTAAGTCTGATTTTTTAAATTAAAAACTAGACTCTGTAAATGACACTATAAATTTTAAAATGAGAAGACAAGACAGGGAGAAAGTATTCCCAAGGCATATATCAGATAAAAGCCTTCTTACATAGAGTATGTAAAGAACTCTGTAAGTTAAAAATTCAAAAATCAAAACAACACATTTTTAAATGGATAATAGGTTTGAATGTATATACCAACAAAGAAGACACAGAGATGAGAAGTGCATTAGTCATTGAGATAATCATTACCACTTAAGACAAGAACAAAAGTTAACTGCAACTGTCACACTGCTGATAGAAATATAAAATGGTAAAACAGCCACTTGGGAAAAGAGTCTGGCAGTTAAACATATACTATTAGCCATTCCATTACCAAAGATATGAATATGCACACATGTATACACAAAAAATTGTATATAAACATTTATAATAGCTTTATGTGTAAAAGACAAATTCCAAAAACCCAAAGGCAGATCAGTGGTAGATGGGTAAACAAATTATAAGACCATACTACTAAGAAATGAAGAGAAACCAACACAGATGAATCTTAAAATAATTACACTGAATGAAAGATGCCAAACAATGTATGGTTCAATTTATATATAATGCTAGAAAAATGCAAGTGAGTATATGACAAAATCAGATCAGTGGTTCCCTTGGAACTGTAGGGTGAAGTGAGGAAGGGTAAGAGAAAGATTATCAAAGCAAATGAGGAAACTTCAGGTGTGATGCCTATGTTCATTATTGTAATAGTAGTAATGATTTCACAGAAACACACACACCTATGTTAAAATGTATTGAATGTACATTTTAATATATTCACCTTATTGTACCCCCCCCTGCACCCTATAAAATTGTTGTAAAAAAATAGAAAAAACAGAACAGGTAGCCTGAAAGTAACTGAGTAAAAGATCAAGAGGATGAAAGTTGTGGTCAGACAGAGATCAGCATGATCGTAAGAGTCAGGAAGGCCGGGCATGGTGGCTCACGCCTATAATCCTAGCTACTCAGGAAGCCAAGATCTGAGGATCGCAGTTCAAAGCCAGGCCAGGCAGAAAAGACCATGAGACTCTAATCTCCAATAAGCCACCAGAAAACCAGAAGTGGTGCTGTGGCTCAAGTGGTAGAGCACTAGCCCTCAGCTAAAGAGCTGAGGGCCTGGGCCCAGGCCCAAAGTTCACTAACAAAAAAAAAAAAAAAAAAGAATCAGGAAGCCATTAGCAGATGGGATGGGATATTGAACAAGCTGCTGGGTAACTTGGCATGAAGGAGAAAGACTAGTAGAGAACATGGTCCTGAAAAAGGCAGAAAAAAAGAAAAAGGAAGTGATAGCAAGCTGGCAAAGTCCAAGGAGGGAAGTATGGGTGGTTGATAATGTCTAGAATTTGCACTGGAAGAAAAAAAGACCCTGATTTCATTCACATATCCCTGTAGGAGACAGAGGAGCTTCAGAGCAAAGCCACGTTTCAGATGGCCAAGGACTTGAAGGAGGCAAGGCAACAGGGCCACTGCAAAACCAAGTGAGTTAG